TCGCTCCACATTCTAGTTGATCGTTTTGAGTTACAAAAATTGATCTACACACTTTATCACTTGCATTAACACATAAACATGATGCTCATGACATGTTTTAGTAAATGATTTACGGTGTAACACCGAGGGTGTTACAACAGCGACGGGAGCTTTCACACCACCGAGAATTGATGTCTAATTCTAGATTCATCGCATAACAGAGTTCATGCGATCAAGTCTCATGTCACATTTTTTCATGAGGAATTAAATTAAAAGCCAAGCAGAAGATAGTACACATGACCATGTCCCTCTATTAAAAGCCAAGCAGAACAGCCATTGGTGTTGAAATATTATTGGAACACCACCATAACGCATGTGTGCACCAAATAAATAATTCAATTTATAAACAAAACAAAGATGGCACACTAGTTTAGCTAAAATAGTGACAACATCCATCATTGAGGAAATTAACATGTCCATAGACAAGCAAACAATATTGGTCCATTTAAAATGCATGACAGAGAGATACATCAAATGTAGCTTTATTTACTGCTCTGCTAATGAATCCAAGAACAAAGGAACATAAGAAAGATAAAATGGTTTGTAGATGAACTCTTTGTCAATGCTACGCCTAACATATCGAAAGACACGGGCAACAATGACATGAACTCTTATGTGGTCCATGTCATATGCGATGATTGTTCCATCCTCCCCAGCAAAGAAAATCATATTCCATCCTGGATGAACTATAATAACTGTGTACTCGACAACCCAATCCACAAAACCAAATTTAATATTAATCCTTCCAAATAGGATCCGCATCTGACCATATGCTTCATTGTCCAATTATTAGTACCATAGTCTTCAAGGATCCAGATTGAAAGCTTGGAATCATTGGGACCAGCAACAGTACATACACACAAGTGACCCTAAGCTTGATGCATGGAGTGTTGAAGACCATTAGGCCTATCAATTTTCTCCATATATTTTCCTCCATATCTATAGCAAGTATCATAGAGTATCCCAGAGTATCCCATAATGTGCAGACAACCGTTAAGAAACACACTTGGTTGTCTGTAACATGTCACATCAGTATCCTCGCCCCATTTAGATTCCTTATAGATCAATGTTGTAGTTTCAGATAAGTAGATCTCCACACCTATACACAAACCGTTGACATCCACATACTCAATCACATGGAAGTATGAGAAGGCTGTCGGATCGAACTCTAAGCGAGCCTCACCAATAGAATGGTCAACATCATGGGTGCTAGGTGGCAATATATTAAACTTCTAGATCATTGGATTACAGACGACATAGTGGTATCCATTAGCCCCAAGGCACTAGCATAGGATGAGGCCGTTGCTGCAATCTGAGACAGCTATATTGTCAGGGTTGAAGGGCAAGAATTCAAAGGAGGGGGCGTACACTAGAGACGCTGGTGAAGTTTTGATTGCCGTTCTCAGCTGTTGTAGAAGAAGCCGGCCATAGTCTGGGGCAGCACCTAATGGTTGTCGGAGATGAGACGCTTTCAGGAGCGGTAGACACATTTGTAGGAGAACAAGGAGCGGGCGGGGTGGCGGTGGAGGATCTCTAGAACAACATCCTCTGTAAGGCTGGCCAGTGCATTCCTGTTGTTTGGGGCCGCCTCCATTTCGAAGAGCCTACGATCGTCATTGTGCAGTAGGATTAGAGCTTCCTTAGTAATGACATCACTAAAGAGGAAAATAATCCAACAAAGATCCATCAGTGAAGTGCAAAAGCATACCCTTGCCTTTGGATCTGGCGGCAACACGGTGCGAGGCGTGCAATGGTTCACACAAATTGCGAGAGGAACAATGCGCCGGCCATGCAGGAGGTGGCGGCGGCGCGGCGTGAGGCGTGCAATGTTCACATAAACTAGGAGAGAGGAACAATGCGCCAACCTTGAAGTTAGAGAAGTGGAAGTACTATGGAGTAATATTGGTGATGCAACTATGTTGTGGGTAGTCGGGAAATGGAGAAATAACTCATGCTGAATTTACTACCGTCGGTAGACCAAACGGTTGTGTAGGGTCGATGGCCAGAACGTCTATCCCAGTCGGCTTGGCTTTTTATACGACGGAGAAAATACCACTGCCGCATCTATTGTTAACCTGTGGGTGGTAGAAGTTTCAACGGCCGGTTTCCTTCCCTACGAGACCTCCCTATCGGTCCAACTGACGGTGAAAGTATGACACCGTCGCTTCTATCACTATGGCTATGAAAGCGATGACGGTGATAAATTAATCTGTAGTAGTGATATATTACTAGATATATGTCTGTGCGTTGCATGGGCGCCGTATTTTTACTCACTCGCATCTACGATGACAAATTTGATTATTTTTAGAAAATTTTTAAAAACTAATACACAAATTTATATTGGCGACCCTAAACTACTTATAAAATTCTTTTTATATATATATGGAACCATGTTATATTTCCATCTACTCTGAACATCCTTGTCTTTTTTCATGTTGGAGTGTCCGCACGCAAAGATTTGTTTTTTTTCTCGTCATTTGCGTTTACGTACGCCCCTCGTGGCCATGAAGTTCCACAAGGCCACTCCGTTATCACGATGATCTCCATCACCGTTGTCACACCGGACCTCGCGTCCGCTTGCCCTCGCCGTCGTCTCGTTCTACGACGATAGTTATGAGTACATACGTTGCACTTCCTCTTCATCCTTTTCACTGTCGTCAATGACTTCTCCGCCTACCACCTCCTTGTCTCCGAAAGCGTCTTAGGTCAACTCCTCCTCGTCTTCGCCATCTTCGGACACCGCTATGGAGGCATGCGACCTTATGCGGGTCAATGTGTGCTGGACGACGAGGCGTCTACTAACGTGCCTGTTCATTGACTACATCCTACAGAGCATCATGAAAACGCCCATGAATTTATTAAGTACAGGCGACACGGTTGCTGATTGGACTCGACGCCGTAGTCGGGGACCAAGTTTTTTCAGGGCCAAACTCGATGATCGGTTTCATTGGCCTGTAATCAGTCGTTTATATGATTTTGGATGAAGAACATTTTGTTTTGGAACCGTTTTTTTTGTTGTATATGATTTTTGATCTGGATGTTTCTGAAACGGGTTTTTTTGCCGTATATGTTTTTTTCGCAAACATTTTTTTTCTGTGTTTGTTTTTTTGGAAACGGTATTTTGTTTGGGAACGGGGATGTGGAAGAGTTTGTTTCTAAAACAGTGGATGTGGAAGAGTTTGTTTTTGTCGGGTTTTTTTTGTCATACCTTTTTTTGCCGTACCTATTTTTTCGGATTGGAAACGTTTTTTTTTGTCGGTTTTTTTTTGTCGTATTTGTTTTTTTCTGGATTGGAAACGGGGAAGTTGGTTTTTTTACGTGTTTTTTTTTTGCCGTTGGGCGGGGCGAAGCTGACGATGACTTTAGTTATTTTTTAGGTGTAGATAGATTATATACTATCTCTGTTTTTTTAAATACAATTCTAGGTACATTATGGGTTAAAGTAGTTAAAGTTTAAATAAATATATAGATAAAAATATTAATGTTTATAATATTAAATTAATATATTATAAAAATATGTTTTATGACGAATCTAATGGTATGTATTTAGCATGATTAATACATGTACCTTTTAATACAAAATTTGGTCAAACTTGATATAATTTAATATAACACTATTCTAAAATTACATTATTTTGAACGAGAGAGTATATTAACAAAAAGGGAAACAACACGATACAAGAGACACTGAGACTTTTCACTCTAGGAGCACGATCTGCCTTACACGAGATTTTCATATTACTCGATCTAGATTTGACATGGTGTCAAAGCAGCCTATATAAGCATCTCATGTGGCTTAATGCTACTCACTATATTTCAAAAAGCCATTCTGGCTTTTTTAGACATAGTTTTTTATAATTCATCTAGACATGATATATATCTAAATACATGGCAAAAGCTACATATCTCAAAAAATCAGAACATCTTACAATTTAGTATAGTGTTGAGGGACTAATCTACGAGTCCCTCGAACCCAGCCGAGCCGTGTTGTGCATGAATGATTAGCTCTCCCTTGTTCCAAGCGAAGCACACCGTGCTGTTCTCGCTTCATTTTTTATCCCGTTTCTTATTACTTCGTGTGCTGTACGGATTCCTTCGCTTGAAGACTGCTGTTTCGTGCAACGTGGTTTTGTGATTACTCGTCGATTGAACATCGTCATCTGTGCTACTACGTCAGATATAGATATTTTTTTTTGAGAGGAGCAATCCTTTTTTATATGTAGTTCTCGTTTCATGATAAATCAAACATACTCACTTTAACTAAATATATATATATATATATCAATATTTACGGTATATGATTAGTATCATTAAATAGATCGTTAAATCTATTTTTATAATAAATTTATTTATAAATACAAATGTTACTAATATTTTATACAAATCTGATCAAAGTTGATAAAGCTGACTCACACGCTTCCCAAAACGGGACAGAAAGAGCATGTGTGTATTGTCCGAGCATTTGCCCTAGGCCCTACGACAACCTTTTGGACAGGTACAGCACCAAAACAAAACTTAACCTGGTAACACTAATTGAGCCCAAACCATTAGCAAGACCCAACAACACAGCAGCCCACCCCACAAGGCCTACTAACCCAGACAGCCAGACCCCAGTGCGCCAGCCGCATCTTGCCCGAGCGACTCTGCGAGCGCGCCTGCATCGAGCGAGGGTTTTTGAGCTGAGCACGCGGCGCGAAGGCCGAGGGGCTGTGGCCAACGGCCTTCTCACTCAGCCCATCTGCCTCGTGCCCACCCTTCCCCCCACTTCCCATTTCTTCCCTTTTTTTGACTCACCCGGTCACCCCCTTCTTCATCCCTTGGACTACAAATGCGGCGCAACCGCAGTCGGGGACTGTACAGTAGGATACTCTTGCTTTCGCCCTCGCATCTCGCGTAGTAGACACTCAAATCCGATTGCCGAGGGTGCGAGGAGGGTTGCAACGGCTAGTTGCGGCGGCCCGATGGACCAGTCGTACCATGGCGGCGCCGCCACCGGTGGAAGCGCCGACTTCAATGGCCAAATGTGGGTGAGAGGGACTCAGGTCATGTGTGTTCGTCATTCCGCGTCTTTCGGGGCTTGTCTCGTCTTGCGTTTGTTGCTGATCCGTGTTTCGTGGGGGCTTGGTCGGGGATTTGGGTGTGAGGTTTTGGTTCGGACCGATGCGCCGCTGTCGGATGATACGAGGCCTCGAGCGGGCTTGCCGGCAGGTTGGGATCGGCTCCACCGCCGGCCGGCCGATTTCGGCGGCTGTTGGCCGCCCGTGTCGCCGATCTAACAGTAGGGAAATTCTAACGAGGCGGCGATCTGACCTGGTGCTCGTTCCACGTTGAATTGAATTTGATCCGCTGATTGGGATTTCCTCTTGCAATAGTGCGCTCTGGAATGGGCGCGTGTGTGCTGTTCTCTATAATGCCTGATCGCTGATAATTAAGTTGTTGGGTCGTTTGTAAATAGTTGCTGGCCTTTGATTCTTTGTTTCAGTGGCTAATCGACCTTACATAGCTTCATGACCTGTCTTAATTGCCTGAATGCCCCGTTCAACTTGTACACTGGCTCGGTTGAGAGTTAGGCTAATGCCGAGGCCATAGCTTGGATGGGGGGAGGATACGGGCTCACGGGGGGCTGGAACAGGTGTGTGTAATGCTGTTCATTGTAATGCCTGATTGGCCGCAATTAGTTTGGCGCATCACTTATAGGCGTTTGATTGTTCCTTTTAGTAGCTAATCGTCCTTACATGGCAAACTAAAATCTGTTCAGAATCCACACACACACACCCTACCAGAGTAGCTTCTTGGATTGTCTTCAGTTTGCGTGATTTAGCTTATGCCCTCTCAACTCTTCCCTGAACTTCATGCTTCTAAATTAACTTTCAGTTCCAGACTTCCAGTGCACAACTTTTGTGGCAATCTATTATACTTGTACCTGATCTTGTAATACTTTCGGCAGTCTCTGGGATTGGCAAACAGGAGAGCATTGCGAACCTAGAGATGGAAGTCATGGTACTTTCAGTCACATCCATAAGTCACAAATGAACTCTAGAGTATCTGCTTGGACTTGCTATCCCATTATGTCTCACCCTTTTTTTACAGCAGATGCTACTAAATTCTTGTGGGATTGCCTCAATCAAGATGACGATGAGCTGCTGGGATTGCTTGGAAATCGAACCCCGCTGAGAGACTGCTGTGATTTCTTCGCCGACCTTGGTGGTATGAAGCTTTTTGTTCTGACAATTATCATCGATACCACTCTTGAATGCATCGCTTAAGTGTCTGTTACTTGAGTAGACATCACCTGCAAGGAGACCCTGGACCTGGAGGAATCTCGGGAATCAAAGCGACGGCGCACATTGGAGTACCCTTCAGAGTCTAGTCAGTCAGAACTTGGAAGTCATGAAACTGGTTCTCCTTTTGTCACATCTGAGGTTGTTCGCTAGCTCCTAGTCCTAGCTATGTTTCAAATCCCTCTCTTTTGCTACTCTTTTCGTATCGTAGTTACGTTTGTTCCATTTTTCAGGTAGCAGAGGTTTCACTGCTCTGCACTGATGAACCACAGAGCTTAAATGGTGATATGGAGTACACTTCAAATAATTTAGGTTCGTATTTTGATTATATATGCTTAAAATAGTGTCTCTGTTTGATAATTGAAATCTCACATCAGATACAATAAAATCCATGTCAAATGAAGTACCATGCGAGCAAGAAGATAACCATTTGCAACATTGCTCTTATGGAACCCCAGTGTACATCGAGCCTGATCAAGTGTTAGTTCCTTTCTTGTTGCACTTAAACCACTTTATGGGGCCTATGTTTATTTGTCAAACGTGACTCATATCCTATTTGCTGTAGGCCTTATAGCTGGGAGAGCATTGCATATAGTGATGATCAAGCTGGTATTTCAGGTCAGTGGGAAGCACCTTTTCTGTACCATTTGATAATTAATTTTCCATTTAGTTTTGCAACTCAGCTTCCAACATATGCGTGGGTTTCCAGTTCCACTCTCACGTGATATCTGAAAGAGCTTTCTAGTTTCCCATTTTCTTTCTTCCACATTTGTGTATTGGCAGTTGCTGCAATGTACTATTATGACCAGCAGCCACGCCGTTGAGTGCCTTACTGGCTCCATGGTTTTGTATTTGTGGTCAGCAACTTATCTATTATTTCTATGCCTACAGGAACAAGCGAGATTGCACCGATGACAGAAAGTTCCATAATGCAGGAAACTAGGAAGCTTTCTACGCTCAAAGTCTCTAAAGGTATTTCAGTTTGACAGTATATTATTGCTTGGAACACAAACCTCTAGTTTTATCGTTGTTGTCATTTGGCTTCTTCTGGCTTGCTAGGCGCGTCAACAGTTAAGGTGAAGCTAAACTTAACTACATCAGTAACATACCCTTTTAATCTCATCAAACCGTCTTGGGAGGAAGGTGATGTTACTCTTCAGGATATAAACAAGCGAATCCATGCTCCCCCAAAGAAGGCCCCGGAGATCCTGGGAACTTCAGCTTTCTCTGGCAAGCCAGTGATCGGCAAGACAAGAATCCGAACAGAAGGGGGGAGAGGCAGCATCACAATTCTAAGAACAAAGGGCTGACCCGCTCTCTGGGAGCCTGAGAATGCTTTTGATCCTTATTTATCTGCCACTCTCCATTTATCAGAAGAGAGGGGGGCAGCTCCGTGGTAGTCAATGTGTGCAGGCCTGAGAACCTGAGGGTGCCATTGATTCACAGTTGAAGGAACAGAGGCCTGAGAACCTATGGTTGCAATTGATTCTTATTTATCTGCCATTCTCTCCATAGCTTTTCAGCACTTTGGTCAATGTGCTGGCCTCTGTAACTTTCCAATTATTACTTCTTTCCTTTCAGTTTTGTGCCGTGGCTTTGGTGTTGAATCACTGTAGATGCAAACTCTTTCTTCAAAGGTTCAGCATTCTTCTGGTGTATTTATGACATGTGGCTAAATGATATATACAAAAAAATTGAAGTTAAAGGAATTAGTGCGTTAAATTCCATTTACTTCTCTTTGATGCTGTTCAGGCCCTCTGTGCTGTCCTTGATAGCTGGTAAGCATCCTGACAAGCATTCTGTACTGTGGGTTGTTGCTTGGATATTACAGTATACAATTCATGGTTTGTGATATCCACAGGATAATACTTAGATAATACTTTGATAGCTGGTAAGCATCCTGACAAGCATTCTGTACTGTGGGTTGTTGCTTTGAATGCGTAGAATTGTGATATCCACATACTGTGGGTTGTTGCTTGGATATTACAGTATAGAATGAACCTTGTGATATCCACATACTCCTACAGGCATTCTGTACTGTGGGTTGTTCCAATTCATGGTTTGTTGCTACCCAAATGTCAAATAAGAATGCAAGAGTTCCTACAAGTTCAAAAATAAAAATAGTCCCCTAAAAAAAAAGTGGTTGTAACTTAATGAATAACAATAATATAATAAAAGTATACAATCGTAGATTCAATCATGTCCTTATTTATTCCTTTGCTTGCATACGCATTTGTTGTAAATTGTATAGATATAATGATAAATAATTTCTTGCTCATTATAAATCAGAACGTCCAAATCGCCATCGCCCAGTGAGTTTTGCAAGAAATGAATGAAGTGGAGATTTTCCCCCCGAATACAGAGTACCTACTCCGCTGCTCCGTCCTTCTGTTCCTTTCCCTATTCACAAACGGGAGCAGGGGAATTGGGGGAGAGCTCAAAGAGGCACATCTAAACCGTTGGGCAACGATGTCAGTGATTGGGATTTTAGTCTGTGCGTACTAACACTCTTTGTCCCAAATTATGGATCTTTTTAGCTTTTCAAGGTACATAGCTTTTGTTATACATCTAGATATACGATATTTTTGTAAGTACATAATAAAGTTTATGCATCTAGAAAATCCAAAATGATCTATAATTTGAAAGAGGGAGTACTTCACAACATACAAGAGTGTGCAGAGCAAAGGCCACATGCAAGTTTCTACAACATACTCATCAGAGGAGATAAAACAACATGCTGACAAATTTTACAAGCAATGGTGGGGCGTCTTTGGTGTCCCAGCATAGCAGGTCTTAAGCCCTGGTAAAGGAGGAGGGTTGTGTTAGGCTCGGCGAGCCAATATAAAAACTTAGCCACTTTAATGGAGATGAAACCCAAAAGAACGAAGTGGTGGAAATTAGAAAGAGAGGCATTAAAGGTCTTTAAGGAAAAGGTCATTGAAGAGGGCTCTTGGAATGATGAAGGCGATGCAAACAGCATGTGGGAGAAGATGACAACATGCGTTCGGAAGGTTGCTTCAAAGGTGCTTGGAGTGACCAAAGGGAGCGGATGTGACTCGAAAGACACTTGGTAGTGGAATGAAGATATGTAAAAGGCTATTAAGGAAAAGAATGAGTGATATAAGCGCTTGTATCATGACAGGTGTGCAAACAACATAGAGAAGTACAATGTGTTAAAGAAGACTGCAAAACGAGCAGTGAGTGAGGCAAAGGGGCGGCCCTATGAGGACCTTTACCGACGTTTGAGTACGAAGGAAGGAGAGAAGGACATTTATAGAATGGCTAGGGCTCGCGATAGAAAGACAAGGGACTTCAACCAAGTCAAGTGCATAAAGGATGAAAGGGAGCAGCTCTTGGTGAAGGAGGATGAGATCAGACATAGATGGCAAGAGTATTTTAATAAATTGTTCAATGGTGAGAACGAAAACACCACCATTTAGCTGGACGACTCGTTTGATGACACTAATAGGCGCTTTGTGCGGAGGATTCAAGAATCGGATGTCAGAGAAGCCTTGAAAAAGGATAAAAAGGGGCAAAGCTATGGGCCCTGATGGTATCCCAACCAAGGTGTGGAGATGTCTCGGGATATAGCTATATTATGGCTAACCAAGATGTTCAACAATATCTTTCGATTGAACAAGATGCTTGAGGAGTGGAGAAGAAGCATATTGGTACCAATCTATAAGAATAAGAGAGATATTCAAAGTTGTACTAATTATCGGGAAATTAAGTTGATGAGCCACACTATGAAGTTAAGGGAGAGAGTCATCGAGCAACGCCTACGAGAAACGACGCAGATATCAACAAACCAATTTGGTTTCATGCCCAGAAGGTCAACAACAGAAGCAATCTTCTTAATAAGATAAGTTATGGAGCGGTTTAGAGAGCAGAAGAAGGACCTCCACTTGGTTTTCATTGACTTGGAGAAGGCTTATGACAATATTATGTAGTGGTCTTTGGACAAACATAAAGTCCCATCAAAGTACGTGACCCTCATCAAGGACTTGTACAACAATGTTGTGACTAGTGTTCGAACAAACGGTGGTAACACAGATTACTTCCCGATTAAAATTGGACTTCATCAAGGGTTAGCCTTAAGCCCTATCTCTTTGCTTTGGTAATGGATGAGGTTATCAGGAACATACAATGGGATATCCCTTGGTGTATGTTGTTCGTTGATGATGTAGTGTTAGTGGACGAAAGTCAGGCGGGAGTAAATAGGAAACTAGAGTTATAGCGGCAGACTCTTGAGTCTAAAGGTTTTAGATTGAGCAGAACTAAAACCGAATACATGAGATGCGATTTTGACGGAGTTGTACAGGAGGAGGGAGATGTAAGTTTGGAAGGTCAAGTAGTGCCTAAGAAGGATACCTTTCGGTATCTGGGATCGATACTACAGATGGATGGAGATATTGATGCGGACGTTAGCCATAAAATCAAAGCAGGGTGAATCAAGTGGCGACAAGCTTCTGGCATTCTCTGTGACAAGAGGGTACCACAAAAGCTAAAAGGCAAGTTCTATAGAATGGTGATTAGATCGGCTATGTTGTATGGAGCAGAATGTTGGCCTATAAAGATTCGACATGTTCAACAACTGAGTGTTACAGAAATGCGTATGTTGCGATGGATTTGCGGTCACACAAGAATGGACCGAGTTCGGAACGATGATATACGCGATCGCCTAGAGGTAGCACCAATTGAAAAAAAGCTTGTCCAACATCGATTAAGGTGGTTTGACCATGTCCAAAGAAGACCTCCAGAGGCACCAGTGCATTGTGGAGTCTTAAGCTAAGATAATAATATGAAAAGAGGTAGAGGAAGACCGAAATTGACATGGGGGCGGTAATAAAAAGATATTTGAAAGCTTATGATATATCTAAAGATCTATGTTTAAATAGAAGTACTTGAAAAACAGCTATTGAAGTGCCTGAACCATGACTTGGAGCTTTTGGTGGGTTTTAACTCTAATCTACCTCAACTTACTTGGGACTGAAAGGCTATGTTGTTGACGTTGTTGATGTTGAATGTGATTCTTCAACTTACAACATCGACATGACAAAATTCTACTGCACAAAAATTCCTTGTGTGATCACAATGACGAATATGCTGCTTCATAGCAGAAGTGAGATCATGCTGTAATATATGCTACACCTTACAATTTACAAGCAGTACGACAGCAAAAAGTACCGCTTTCTTACACTACGTCTGTACTTCGTTCCTATCCCGTGTAAAGTACAAGTCCAGGTCGTAACAAGAACAAATATGTGGTACGAGCAGATGCCACATGAAACTGGCAGTAATGGGATGTCTGCAGAATTTGTCAGGCTTGCCCAGCAGCGTCCCAAAGATTGCAGTGGTTCTAAATGATACAGCAAAGAGGTTTGCCTGAACGACCCCTGCATCAGTGTACCCGCACCTTAATGTTGTGGTGTCATAAGGGCACTGTAATTTTTCAGTGCCCATTTGCTACAAGAGGAAAGTCTGCTTTTCACTGATATATGATCTTCAGTTCACAATATCCTCCCTCAGCAATCAAACGAATAATCATATTGTCCAAGTAGTATCATATTATTAACAAGCCAGTCTCTGATATATGGTCTTCCAGTTCTCTATTTCCTCCCTTGACAAGCAAATGAAATTAATTGTATTAGCATAGATGAGGGTAGTACAAACAAATCTACACAGGTAGGTTAGGAAAAATTCAATAAACAAAGACAATAAAAGGATTGGAACAAAACATAGCTAAGCTTATGACTAACCGAACACAGCAACCAATAGAATCATAATGTAGAAGGGCAATCGGCTTGCGCTTTCCTGCAGTTCTATGGGCAACACCACGCTTAACTACAGGCAGTTGCTTTATCCCTCTGGCCTCCATAATACTTTTTGCAGTGGTCAAATCAGTATCTGGAAAACATGTTAACAATCCACGTTCACTCCCACGGTACTGGAATCCTCGAGTAAGACATGATGAAATGGAGGAAGAATTGTCCTGCAAACAACCTTTGAATCAATACATTTTTACAACAAGAAAGTTGTGAAAATTGTTTGTCTCTCCAGAAGCTAGGATGAATGCACATATAGTAGACATCACAATTTGAGTTATTGCTTACTGATTCCTTAAAAGAAGTGTTTAGCTTAAACAGTGTAAAAGTGGCCATATTTGTTACTTGCTAGCGTAGACATATTTAGCAATAACTGTGTTTTCAATGGGGCCAACTCTAGCATCCAGCTCATCCTAAGACAGATCCTTGAAGAGGCACATCTGGGGCCTTGCAGGCGCTAGAGGTCTTGCCCCACCTAGAGGTTGCTAATAGATAATAAGCTGGTGGTTTTGTTGGGTCGGGTCATGGTTTTATGTAAGAGGCGCATTTATTTCTGGTAAAGTAAGCATGTGTGTGTGAGAGAGAGAGAGAGAGCGTGGTGGGCGTATTCTAATTTATTTATCTCCTTAATGCAATGATACACGGCTCAAAAAAAAATGTTACTCTGAGCTTTATTCAGTGCTAAAGTAACATAAGCTCATTCGATTGTCAACCTTGGCCTAAATCTGTGCACTAAGGCTTTTATGCTGTATAAATTTTCCTTTCTTTTTTAATATAAGGCAGTGCTCATGCCATATTTTCAAAAGGCACAGAAGTATTTAATGGGAAGAAAGAATTTTATTTCACCATATAAACATACATCAGCCTTGGGGTGATCTCCATCGATGAAACTTTCCATGTGTAACCCATATCCCATGCGCTGTATATCCCCTATTGTAATAATTCCTTCAAGAAAATCTTCAGGGTCCACAACCAGGGCACAATTTTGCTGTCTATCATGCAATAGCTTAAGAGCTTCTGTACTGTAGCAGATGGTAAAACTTGGACATTTATCTTTGACATGGCCTGGGAGACCTGATTAAAAAGGTACAAACAAATGAAAGAACAGCACAAGTACAACCTTGCAATTCTCAAGCATTATAAAGTACGTCGATTGAATATGCTATACGTGATAACAAGAGTTGGATATGGGTAAAATCTGCCAGAATAGAGGCTGACAAACCTTCAAATCATCCAGAAGCATCTCTTCATTATAAGTTCCATAGTTACTAATGTCAGTTTGTATTATACTGAGCTCAAGATCATCCACAACATCATCTTGCCTTGAGCTACCATTTCTGTCTTCTGGTGAAATTGAAGAATAACCTCGTCTGGGTGTTCTAAACCCAGAAGTCTCAGTGTCGTTTGGCTGGTTTACTACTGAAGGAACCCATATTGCCAACCCAACTGCTCCCTGTTAAGAACCAGGAAATAAAATGTGTATTAGTTTGAACATGCACTAGGAAGTGAAGGAAATGACCTATATGTCCGCGGCATATAAAATGGTAATGAAAATAACTAGACAATTTTGTGTTTATGTTGTGTAGCAAAAATATAGAAAGAGTACATTGACAGTTAACACTTACCATGAGCGGAAGCAAAATCCTGTAATCCTTTGTTAGCTCAAAGAGAATCAGTACTGAAGTCAATGGGACTGAACAGACTGAGGATAGTGTAGCAGCCATTCCGACCTACAGAAAATCAGAGTTAATGCACATTATTACTTATCGCATTAGGGAAAGTAGATTGCAAAGCAACTTACCAGAGCATAAGCTTGTGGCTGTGCAACAGCAGCATTACCAGGTAAAGCTGAATTTATTAAATAAGCAGCTGAACCCCCAAAAACAGCTCCCACAGCAGCCCCAATCATCAGGCTTGGAGCATATAGCCCGGGCCAGAGCCCTTGCAGAGGGCAGTTGCAACTACCTTTGCAGCTGCCAGTTGAGTTAACAACCACATACCAGGAGCAGAAGCACTTTTGCCAGTATGCAATATTTCTTCAACATTTGTGAAACCCCAGTATAAGATCCCTGGATATTTCAGAGTTATGATACCAGCTCCCAGCCCACCCAAAGCAGGGTACACTATAATAGGAAAATCAAACTTTTCCAGTATGCGCCCAAAGAATCTTGAAAACCACCCTACCAATCCGTCAAATACCACACTCACTGCTCCATGTTGGGTTCATTCAGTCAAATTCAGTCCAGGTTTCTAGCACATTTCAGTTAGTTAGTTTGTTTTCATTCTTGGCCAATAACTGAACCCGTTGTGGGTGCGTCTTGTAAGCCAGAATCGTGCTCAGTTCACGGTGCGGCACGTAGCTCTACATTCCGTTGTTTTCGCGAGTCATAGCTGAAGCTTCGCGCTCCACTTGTTCGGTCGTGGGATGGCGCGACCCAGTAGGAGGAAGTGGCGCGCATGGCGCCGAGTCATGAGTGGCCACGAGCAGCTCACTGCATGGTATATATTTCATCAATAGAGTCAGAAAACGCCGAGTAGTTGTGCGGCACCAAAATTGCTTGTGTTTCTCTGTGAGTTCGAGAGTGTGCAGTTGGGGTGGGATCTTGTCTCCGGCGAGGGGCGCCGGCAAGGTCGCTAACAATTGGTACCAGAGCTAGATAGAGAGAAGAGCCTACGGCACTGCAATGGTGTCACCAAGGGAGAGAGGTCGCTCGTCATCCGCGGCGGGCAAGAGGGAGATAGGCGACGGCTCTGGGGACAGGTCCCCAAAACGATCGCCGTCTCCGAGCCGCTCGCCGCCGCGTCGGTCGCGGCACCACGGTGGTCGGCGTTCCCGGGCGCGGCATCCGCGGGAGGCCATCGTCGAGCGCGTCGTTCGGGAGACGAGCGGTTCCAGGAATTGGCCGCAGCTGACGAAGACCAACTACGACTCGTGGTCGTTGTTGATGAAGTTGAAGCTGCAGTCCCGCTACCTGTGGGACGCGATCGAGGACGAGGATGTCGACTTCCACGACGATCGGGCCGCGCTGGACGCCATCTGTTCCGGCGTGCCCCAGGAGATGGTGCCCACCCTGGCCACCAAGGCATCGGCGAAGGCGGTGTGGGAGGCGATCCGAACCATGCGCATCGGTGATGATCGGGTGCGGAAGGCGACGGCGCAAGGTCTCCGTGCGGAGTACGAGCAAATCGCATTCCGTGATGGTGAGTCCGTCGAAGATTTCGCCCTGCGCTTGTCTAATTTGGTGCAGCGCTTGGCAATCCTTGGTGATCCGGAGGAGGAGTCCAAGGTAGTCGCCAAGTACCTCCGTGTGGCGCGGCCAAGGTACAAGCAGCTGGTTATCTCCATCGAGACGCTCCTCGACGTCGACAACCTCACGATCGAGGAGGTCACAGGGAGGCTCAAGGCGGCCGAAGATGGGCATGACTCCGGAGGAGGTACCGGTTCTTCCACGGCGCGCCTCAACCACGTCGAGGACGAGCTGGTGGAACAGGTGGTGTCATGGCTCCAACAAGCTAGTGGAGGCAAGCCTAGGACCGGGCGCCCTCCCGCTGGAAACCAAAAGAAGGGCCGCGGTGGCGGTTCGTCCCATGGCGGGGGGAGCTCTGGTGGAGGATCATCCCAAGGCGGGGGGGGGCGGAGCGGAGGCTCCAAGCCACCCACCGGCGGCGCCGAGAAGAAGAAGGGAAAACTCGCTGGCGACGAGTGCGCCTACTACGGCAAAACGGGGCACTGGGCCCGTGAATGCCGCAAGAAGAAGCGCGACGATCAAACCCATGCGGCCGAGACCGAGGCGGAGGCTGCATTGATGGTGGGGATCATGTCGATCTCCCTCGCCCCTGAGCAGGCTGCAACACCGGGCGACGTAGCGCGCGTCCGCGTAGGTGATGGAGGCGTGACGCGGTGGGTCTTCACCGTCGAGGCGCCGATCACGGAGCCCACGACGGCCCTCGTGGCGCTGGCGACGCCCTGCATCACGACGGCGCTGTCAGCCACAACCGAGGAAGTCCACATCAAGGAGGACAAGCTCTTCGTCCAACTTGGTGAGAAGCGCAGCGACAGGGGAACGCGCTGGATCCTCGACACGGGTGCCACAAACCATATGATCGGGGTGCGGTCTGCCTTCTCCGAACTCGACACCGGGGTGCACGGCACCATCAGGTTCGGCGACGGTTCCATGGTCGACATCCAGGGGCGAGGAACGATCATCTTCAGCTGCAAGAACGGGGAACACCAGAAGCTGGCCAGCGTCTATTTCATCCCCAAGCTGACGGCGAACATCATAAGCCTGGGGCAGCTGGACGAAGACAAGTACAAGATCCTGATTGAGGAAGGGGTCCTGCGCATTTGGGATCCGCGCCGGCGTCTTCTGGCCAAGGTGCAGCGCGAGGCAAACCGGCTGTACATCCTCAACGCCAACATCAGCGCACCAGTGTGCCTAGCGGCGCACGCTGACAACGCCGCCTGGAGGTGGCATGCGAGGTACGGCCATCTCGGCTTCCACGGCTTGAGGCTACTGTCAAGGAAGGAGATGGTGCACGGACTCCCTCAGATCGACCATGTGGAGCAGCTGTGCGAGAGCTGCCTCGCCGGGAAGCAGCGCCGGCAACCTTTCTCGGAGGCAAGCAGGTTCCGTGCGTCCCTCTCGCTGGAGCTCGTGCACGCGGATCTGTGTGGTTCGATCACTCCGGCGACACCTGGCGACAAGCGCCTGTTCCTGCTCGTTGTGGATGACAGGAGCCGGTTCATGTGGCTGGTCCTGCTGGTGTCCAAAGACCAAGCCGCGGCGGCGATCATCCAGTTGCAGGCAAGGCTGGAGAAGGAACCCGGGAGGAAGATGGGCACACTGCGGACGGACCGCGGTGGTGAGTTCACGTCGCAGGTGTTCGAGGAACACTGTGCCGATCAAGGCGTGCAGCGACACCTCACAACGCCTTACACACCCTAGCAGAACGGTGTGGTGGAGAGACGCAACCAAACGGTGCTGGGGATGGCGCGGAGCATGATGAAGGGGATGAACATACCCGGATGGCTTTGGGACGAGGCGGTGAGCACTGCTGTCTTCATCCTGAATCGCTCCCCAACCAGAAGCGTGGACGGCAAAACACCCTATGAGGTCTGGTATGGTTCCAAGCCAGCTGTGCATTTCTTTCGTGTGTTCGGCTGCACTGCCCACATGAAGGTCGCCGGAGGCCACCAGCGCAAGCTGGATGACCGCAACACTCCCATGGCATTCATCGGTTATGAACCCGGCACGAAGGCGTATAGGTTCTACAACCCGAGCACCGAGCGCGTCTGCATATCGCGTGATGCGGTGTTCGACGAGGGGAGGCCTTGGAGGTGGGAGAACGCTGCTGAAGGTTCGTCGCTTGCGGTTCTGGGGGAGCCGTTCACCGTCGAGCACGTCACGATGTCTGCTCCGAGCGGTGGACATGTGCTGGAGCTGCCAACGGTGACACCGCCGGCCTCGCCAGGGCCTTCTTCACCAGCCATGGGCCTTGACGAGCCGCCGGCAACACCGACGTCGCAAGCTGCACCGGGAACATCTCCACCAGCGACTCCATCAGGCATGCAGTTCATGTCCCCACCTGCCGGGGAGCTGGTGCTAGACGACGATCATGACGACGCCCCACTACGGTTCCGGCTGATGGAGGACATCCTCGGAGCATCTCCGGCACCTGACGAGGGTGATGGGGGACATGGCGTGGGTCTACTGCTCTTCATCGACGACGAGCCAACCACATTCGACGAGGCACGTGGCATTGAAGACTGGAGGAAGGCCATGCTCGAGGAACTGTCCTCGATCGAGCAGAACGACACCTGGACACTTGTCAATCTTCCACAAGGGCACCGTGCGATCGGGCTCAAGTGGGTGTTCAAGATCAAGCGCGATGAACTGGGAGCCATTGTCAAGTACAAAGCACGCTTGGTGGCGAAAGGTTATGTCCAGAAGGCGGGGATTGATTTTGAAGAGGTGTTCGCGCCGGTGGCGCGGATGGAGTCGGTGAGAATGCTCCTCGCTGTCACCGCACAGGAAGGTTGGCTTGTGCATCACATGGATGTCAAGTCGGCTTTTCTCAATGGTGACCTCGCCGAGGAAGTGTACGTGCAACAACCACCTGGCTTCGCTGCAGCCGGGCACGAGAGGAAGGTGCTGCGCCTCCAGAAGGCGCTCTATGGGCTCCGTCAAGCTCCCAGGGCGTGGAATCAGAAACTGGACATCAGTGGTGCGCCAGTGAACATGGGATGTACACCCGTGGCAAGGGGCTGTCCCGGGTGGCCGTCGGCGTTTACATCGATGATCTGATCATCACCGGTGCTAAGGAGGGCGGAGTTGAAGTGTTCAAAGCGGAGATGCAAAGCTTGTTCAGGATGAGCGACCTCGGGTTGCTGTCCTACTACTTGGGCATCGAAGTGAGGCAGTCCAAGGCAGCCATCACTCTCAGGCAAGTAGCATATGCACGCAAGCTGCTGCAGAAGGTGAACATGGCCGGGTGCAATCCCTGCCAGACCCCGATGGAGACACGTCTCAAGCTGTCGAAGGATGGGATGACAGCGTTGGTTGATGCCACTGAGTACCGCAGCTTGGTGGGCAGTCTCAGGTACTTGGTTCACACCCACCCAGACATTTCATTCGCGGTGGGTTTTGTGAGCCGCTTCATGGAGAAACCGAGGCAGGAGCATATGGCAGCAGTGAAACACCTGCTCCGGTACATAGCCGGAACGGTCAAGTTCGGCCTTGTCTACCCCAAGCTGACGAGCGGCGACAACAAGCTGATCGGCTACAGTGATAGTGATTTGGGGGGGAGACACTGATGACAGGAAGAGCACAACAGGCATCATCTTCTTCCTGGGACAAAAGGCGGTGGCCTGGCAGTCCCAAAAGCAGCGGGTGGTGGCGCTCTCATCCT